GCTAATTTCCCATTAAAAACAGATAAATGGAAATTAACATTTGGACATGCTTGATCAAAAGTTAGTGTTGATAACTTATATGAAGAAACTATTAAAATAATAAATCCAACAATGAAAACATATTTCTTTGAAATACTATTAGGAGCATCTCATAAGTATGAACTTTCAGTTGAACCAATGAGATTTACATTAAAACCTGAATACGCAATTGAACTTAAATTTATAATTAAAATGATATGTACTGCTTTTGTTAATGATGAAATTGGTATTATTGCAATGGATTTAGATGAAGAAATAAAAGAAACTGCTAAAATTTCTATTGTTATTGAATCTGATTTATCAACTAAATTAGATCACACAGAATTAAAACTTCAAATGCCAGCTATAGGTGAAGGTGCATTTGGAATGGTTTTTGAAGGAAGTTATAGAGGTCAAAAAGTTGCTGTAAAAAAAATGAAAGCAAGAACATTAACTGAAGAACAAGAAAAAGAATTTAAACATGAAGTTAATATGTTAACACAATTTAGACATCCATGTATAGTTAATTTAGTTGGAGCTGTTTATACAGAAGGAGAAATATCAATTGTAACAGAATTTGCAGATTATGGATCACTTTCTAAATTATATAAAAAAGAGTTATTACCTTTTGATTTAAAAATTAAAATTATGGAAGATATTGTTGTTGGACTTGCATTTTTACATGAAAACCAAATTATTCATAGAGACGTTAAAGGTGAAAATGTTTTAATTTATTCATTAAATCCACACTCTCAAGTTTGTGGGAAATTAACTGATTTTGGTACTTGTAGAAATATTTCTGAAAGAGCTATTCAATTACAACCATTATCTCATGGAATTGGAACTCCAACTTATATGGCACCTGAATGTTTAGCAAATAGTAATTATTCTTATAGTGCTGATGTTTATTCATTTGCAATAATACTTTATGAAACATTTACGGAAAAACAGGCATATGTTGATGATGAACGATTTGTTCAACCATGGACAATTCCTCAATTTGTTATTGAAGGTCATAGACTTGAAAAACCAAATGATGTTCCAGAAAATTATTGGAATTTAATTAATCAATGTTGGATTCAAAACCCTGAAGCTAGACCTACGTTTAATCAAATTCATAGTACCTTTATTAGTTGGAACCTTGATATTTGTAATACAGAATTATCTACAAATAAAAAGGACTCTACTCTTGATTCTCTTTCTCAATCAACACTTCTAATATAGTGGTAAACTAACAAAATAAAAAGAGATTTAGAAGTAGTATAAAAATCAATCTATTTAA